GCCACGGCGACGGCGCAGCGTTTCCGTCGCTCGGTGGAACGAACGCAGTCTCGTCTCACGCACGTCGCGTTTCCCCCACCACCGGCCGCCGCGATGGAAACGCGCACCCGTGACTGGCGAACTTCTCGCCAGCCTCCGCGCAGCTTAGTCCGCGTCGCTCGTTCTACCGGTATGGATGCTCATTCGAGCTCGGTCGTTCAAGTTCGTCTCGTTTCGTGCTCGACGATCGTTTGGCTGGCGCAACGGACCCGTTTCAACTTCAGTCGTCGTTTTGATTTCGTGAGGAGAGTTGATCCACGCGTAATCGCGATCGGAAAGCGGGAAGGGAGAAGCAACACGCCTCGACGACGAAGCCGGTTCGCTTGCATCCTCTCGCGTACACGTTGGCGAAAAAGGAAGGAACTCTACCCCTCGTACTTACGCGTCTCCCCACTACTCATTCTTCGCTTTTTACTCGGTTCGAAGCCTCTTTTCTCCACCTTCCTACCTCCGCGCTCGTTCTCGATCGTGTGCCATGCTTCCGGCTGACAGTGCGGTTTTCGGGCCTGCGCGACTCGGTATGTCCTTCCTTCTCCTGTGCGATTTTCGGTGATCTGCGAATCTCCGCCTTTCTGAGCCTCCCTGAAACGTCTAAAGGCGAGTCATCGTGCACTTTGCTCGAGAATGCGTCACGTCTTGGAGTAGTGCACCGGTTCTTCCTGTCTTCTTGCCGAGGAATCGATAACCTGCAGGACACGAACGAGCCGGTGCGGTGATCAGATGCTGCTCCGAAGTGCCGGGGTTCGGTGAGTGAAAACTTTCTCTGAAATTCTCTTTTATTGCATGCAAATTTTATCAAAAGTCTACGAAGAGAAGTTGTACTAAGTGAGTTCTATTGAACGATCTATCGATAACCGTGTTGCTGGAACGATCGCTGCAATTATGTAACCCGCGTAATTTGAACATGGATGCCACGTGCATACGTTTGTTCCTTTTTCTTGTTAATTTTCTTTTGAATTAATATAGCGACTAGCGTAAACTACCTGTTTAAAGTTTGAGTTTAAAATTCGTGTACCGTACTTTTACTTGAGAATTTCTCAAAAAGCGCGCACTCTGAAATGAGTCGTTGAGTCTAATTGTGCTCGAGGAACGATGGAAATGGGTAGGCGGGTGTCGTTGGACACGGACACGCCCATTGGTTGGGCTCATCGTCAACGGTACGTTTCGCGAAGCCTAATTAAATTAAACGCTTTGGAGCGGTTTTCTAAGGTCGCTCGATGTCGCACCATATTTGGCCGTCTGTAAAGAACATTTTGCTTCCCGATATTTTTTCCTCCGATTCTCTCTTTCCCTCCCAATTATTCGAGGATGATTTGGCCTGGCTATTATTAGATTCGTTTTGGAGCAAGGGGGGTTATTATTGAGAGAATAGTAGAATCGTGTGTCGCGCACCGTGGTCCGTCGAGCATCATTGCTGCTAATTTTTGAAAATAATTTTCAGCTATCTCATTTCACCGCCAATTTATTAATAGCGTATTTCAGATTTATTTATTAGAAAAATTTAGAATTTAATTTAGTAATTTTTTATACGATCTGCTCGTTGCTACTTGCACGCCCTTGTCCTGCCGAATAAAGCGAACGATCGACACCAGAGCGCGTTGCGTGTTGTATAGCAACGCGTATATGCACGGCGTGCGCGTGAATGCGTGTGCGAATAGTCTGGCGCCAGCAGGTGAAGTTAAATATAGCTTATGCAACGGGCATCCTTTCTTTTCTTCTCTTCTACCTTTCCGTCGAATAACATCGCGTAAACAAATGCCAAGGAAAAAAGATATCTCTACCCGCGAAAAAATTTCGCTTTTCTGTGTTTGTCGCCGAGCGGACCAACTGTGTGCGCAATAAAAACGAATATAGTCATCTTGTTTACACTCGTTCACGTTCCGCGTTTCATAATAACTTCCACGCATTATTTTGTTTCCTACGTTTTCGCAGAGAGGAAATCACGGATCGAAGATTCTCGAGAAACATGAATATTCGATAATCGTGTCAACGGTTTTGTTCGAACTTACTCGTCACGTGACTAAGTGTTCTCATCGGAAATGTATGTTTATATGTACATATCTTTGTATGGCCATGCGTTATATTGTTGGATCATGTTGAATCACCACGCGTTATATCGACGCATATAAAACACGGTAAATATAAATATTTTCACGACTTTACAATCGTACGGGGACAGGAGAATTGATAGGCTGGATCGATTTTCGTGTCTCGAACGATATCGATATGTCGAGTAATCAGTCAGAATTTATCGAAGTGAATTTTTATTCTCACCAGTCAAATTTTACGAAATTCTTGGTATTATTATATACAATATTTTTCGAGAATTTTCGTATTTAGAAATAAAATATGATTTCAGTGAATTTGAATAATGGATTGCCCCTCACGGCAGCCGGCATTCTAACCTCAATCTGTTAATTAACCATTTGTTGCAGTTTGTATTAGACGTAATTTTTAGGAATTCGGAAAGAACGTTATATTATTTTTCAACCGCTGTATTTATAAAAACAATAAGCTGTGCTGACTCATAAATACGTAGGTACGCTTAGAGTTCAATGGATAGCAACAACTTCTCGAATATCGGAAGCTAAGGATTTCTGAGTCGTTTAATGTCCCAGACATATTAAAACGATGTTGGTATATCGGCCATTTTTAATAAAAGAATTAAAAAGCAGATTAATGTTCATTATGGATAATAGCCTTCGGCCATTTGCATAAAGGCGGAGACGTTGATACAACTGGTCGCGCGATAACGAGCGACGGATGGCATGACTGGTTGCAAGATTCTTTCTTTTATCTTCTTTTTTCCCCTTTTCACTTTATCTGCTTCTTTTCTATTCGTTGGCATTTTCGACGGACCGTGATTTTAAACTGGCTTAATTTCCTAGAGATCGTCTTCTAGAAACGTTACACGGGAATGGATGTTTGCCGTCGTTACGTTATTTTGAATTCTCGGGAGGGGGGATGATATCTCGTAGAGAAAAATTCCTACTTAAGTTGCAAGCCGTGAGCCGCTTCATAAAACCGGTTACCAGATACACGGAAATGTAAATTCAGCGGAGAGAAGAGCTCCGGAATACTACGGGAAAAAAATGCAGCAGCCCCTACGAAAATAACGTTGCGTACATGTTGAATTAAATCGGGAAGATAATTGTTGTATGTTAACCAATAACGTATAAAACTGATGCTTAAATATTATTTATATTATTGCATTATTCAGGAGAAGTACGAAAGTGGATTAAAATTTACATGCATAATTTAAGAGGTAATGATTCCGATGAGAACGCGGCTTGACGGTTTCTGCCGCGACGGTCCGGCATACAAGTGTTTCGTTGTGCCGTTAAGCTCTCGAGTAAAATCGGATTTCACCGGCATATCGAAAGTATTAAAATATGTGATACTAGCCGAGTATGGTAGTTTGACCTCGATTTTGTCCGTGACGACACCTGCACGTTAACTCGCATATTATTTGGGCATAATATTTAAAAGCATCTGAGGCGCACTTCAGTATAATGAATACCATTATAATTAAACAGAACTTCTTGTTATTTCTAATGACACAATCTTTCGTAATATATGTAAATGTGGTTTTGTAGAGAATTTTGTATTTGAAGTTTCTTGTAAAAAAATGTTGCGACGCCTATGCGTGTACGGCAAGAGGGTGGAGAGAGAAAGAGAGGTTAAGAGGCAGATGAAGCACAGCGAGATGCCTTTAGGATCGAGTCTCCCTGACGGCGTTTATTTATTGCCAGTATTAATACCGAGCCCCGCAGAGTTGGTTGGTGATTACATAAAACATGCTTGCCCCTCCTACCATCGAAGGCAACCCCCTCATCTCCACCCTGCTCGCCTTCTATCCGAACGATCCTATCTCTCGTGGTAATGGGACTTGGCGAACGAATCTATTCGAAAAAGAAAAAAATCTGTTTAACGTATCTCTGATCGGTTTCGCGCAGAAAGAGGCATATTTTTTTCAATCGTCACCGATACCTGTACAACGTAGACTTCCTTAGAGTAAATTCAGAAAATTTGTCATAAGTTGACTATTTACACTTTGAGGTTATGTTGCTTCTTCTATTCCTTCGCACCTCCTTGTTTAATATAGTTCAATCCTTGCCTAAAAAGTATCAACAATTACTAGGGAGAAAACAAGACGAGAAAAGTAATATAATACTCGAGCATTGTGTTCCATAAATTGCTGCGGCTTACGTATCCTCATTGCCCATTGTCCTTGCACTTTGTGAAATGTTCGCTAACAGCCCAATCGTAAATGACTAATCGCTTTCACAAAAGAACCTCGCGACTGCTTCTTTTGTGGATATCTGCACGTTTTCTCTTTTTCTTATCTGTACACTTGTTTGCACCTTGCTGCTTCATTTTTTACGCCCATCTCCTGAAACGCGAAATGTGTTACAACTTTTGTGCTTGATCCTTTTAAAGTCGTTGAAAGAGTGGCACCTTCTGGGCAGACCACTTTTTTGTCACGTGTGACTGGAGATTACTTTTTTACGGACGCACCAGTGACCGTTGGAAGGTTCGAAAGTGCGTACACGGCACTTGGTAACGGGAAACGCTGGTTCACGATCGTTTCTAAGAAAGAGAGGGAAGAGCCTAAAAAAGAGAACGAAACCCAGCACGGACGAATGGACAACGAAAGATGCGTAAAAGGGCAAGGGACGAGGATGTGGATTAAAGCTAAAAACATCGGACGGAGTATCTGTTCACATCTTACCGGGCAGCATTGGATTGCAGTTGAACCTTCTAATACTGTCAGGTAAAGATGTCGTCAGGATTCCGAAATCAACGAATTTTGTGGTGACGTGACAGGGAAAAATTCTGCAAAAGGCGTAGAATCGTACGAAAGTGTAGCTCGAGCAATCGCACGTTCCAAATTGCCGCCATTACATCGCGCGCTTTTTGAGCACGTGGCTCGTACGCATTCACAGTGTACTTACGTTATTCTTTTTGTAATCCAGTGTGTAATTGAGTGCATCAAAATGCGAGAATTATTTAGATCTTCATCATATTGTATCGTGCGAGTTTCCCGTATTTTTTTGTACAATAGCATCTTGATTCATGCACTTCCGAATACATTGTAACTTTTATAACATCAATCGATGTTTCAAACACGATATACTTTAATAATTCTGTTCCCAAGTCGTAAAAAACGAACGGTTAATAATTTGTCCATCGACGAAACGGCGCGGTGCGTGCTGCGCGCGCATAAATCCCTCGTGCACGTGACACGAAGTTCGCGTGTTGCGCATGCGCCAGCGCGCGCTCGATCGAGAGGGAACCAACGTGCGTTTCTGGTCGGTAACCGTGTGGCGTCGGTAGGAGGTAGAAAACGAAGAAGCTTCGAAAAGTCGCGGCTTGACTTGCTCGAGGCGAAAGAAGAGAGCGTGTAGGCGCGTTAGGAATGTAACATCTCGAAAACGTTGTGTGCCATGATCGTAAAGCATCGCGTGGGTCTTTTCGAGGCTCGGACGCGCAAGGGGTTGTGTGCCAAGCCTCTGGATGAAATAAATCCGTTCGCTCGGACGTCGAGGGAATCTTTTTTACCCCATCGTAGATCGGTCGACGATCGTTTAGGATTCACCCGCGTAGGTGGCATGGAGACTGACTGACGACCTTGTAAAGAACATCCACAATAGCTTATTAGTGAGTTATAGCCGCTAGAATTCGTCCGTTTCAAAAAAGTTGACATTGAGTTATTAGAGGTTATAGTAGATAGATACTTCGGAACCGTATTTCTCGCGAGTAACTATGCGCAGACTGCCGATAAGAAATGTATATATTAACGGATATATTCCATTTTATTCGCTTTGTAACATTTTTTGTTAATTTTACGTATGTACCGTGAAACTCGTTCGACGTCCAGCTCGGTTTATCGTCATCTCGAGCAAGCGTGTTTATGGGATCTTTCTTAATGGCGACGGTCCTTGGCATGCATCGTTGACTTTTAATTTCAAGTCGATATTTATTTCGCGAGAAAAGCAAGAAATCCGGTTCTCGATGGCCGAACGGGATTGTAACGACGCGTTTTGCATAGAGGCGACAATTAAAGGAGAAAAAAAATGGAACCTGTTCTTGCCTCAGCGGTGGATGCAGAGGAAAAGCATCGGTGATCGAAGTGATCGATAAAATGATCGGTTTAATCATTTACATGAATCAGATAAACGCCACAAGAAATGTCAGAAAATACATCGCCTTAAATATCAGTAACTTTTATAGGTAATTATAAGCCGACTATATTATACTACATATAAAGCTAAATTTCCGCGAGTGAATATCTTTATCGAAGTTTAATAAATGCATGGGCGGTAACGAAAACACACGGGTCAACGTGTTTAAGGGCCTATAATAGAGAGTTGACTTTTCGCCAATCGACCCGAAACCTCTTGATCGACGAGTTTGAGGCACTTTGGCCATCAGCCAGTGCCGTTTTAGAAAGATATCCGGCCTGATCGACTACGGGGACGTGTATCGATACCTCTCGAATCAACGGGTCGCTTGTATCGCGTGGATCGTTCCTGGAAGGAATCGATATCGATACGGAACGCATTTTAGAATAGAAATAAAGATGGCGGAGAAGGCACGAAGGGATTCTGAGGTGAGAGGAATTTTTTTGCGCGTTATGTTACGTGACATGTGCGGTAATTAATATCGTGTCGCGCTTAGGGAACACACTGTTATAAATATGTAAATATTCTCGTATGATCGATATAATCCGCGATTCTTACGTAATCGTATGCAAAGATCGCTGGAAACGTTTCTAGCGTTGCCAGGCACTTATCTGCTAGCGAATAATTCGAACGGAACTTAAGAATTATTTGGAAAATATATTTGTAGGAAATAAAAGCTCAAGTTCAGAATAAAGTCAGCCAGTGATCTCCGAGCGTGAACGTTGAAATGGACCGATTGAAGAGCGACTCGTCGAGGCCTCGTTTCGTTGCAAATGCTTCCTACATCATCGCGCCATCATCTGGTTAGCTCGACGTATTAATAATTGCGCGATTGTGTAATAATCAAAAGCCGTGAGGGACGATGGTGTATCATCCTCTCGATCAAGAACGACACTCCACGCTTCAGCTATATTTAGTCGGTTGGAATTGAAGGTGAAAGAAAAGTTACTAAATATTTTCTGCTCTGAAACACGATTCGACAAGAAAAATAGATACGCAGTCTGTTGCGGTGTTTATGGCGATAAACCAGACAAAAATCTGGAAAACAATAATATTTTTCCACGGTTAGTGATTCGTGATACGTTGATACAAACGGTAGCAAAAACATTCGAGTAAAAATAGTGGGTACTGAAATTCTTCTGCGATGACTATTGGAGATTTCAATATCGTGCCTTATAATTCCAGTTCTAATTTTAATTATGCTTCGAGTATCAATTACAATATTATATTGTATTATAGGATTATACTATAACATGATAGGTACTATATATAGTATTATATGTGTACCTACACTATAATACGATATTATATAGTATTATATTATATGTAGTATTGTATACAGTATTATAGTATATCTTAATAGGTATTATATTATATGTAGTATTGTACATAGTATTATAGTATAACATAATAGGCATTATATTATAATTAATATTGTATGTATAACTACATTATAATATAATATTATACAGTATTATATTATATGTAGTATTGTATATAATTTTATAGTATAACATAATAGGTATTATATTACATATAGTATTATATATATAACTACATTGTAATATAATATTATACAGTATTATATTACATTTAGTATTGTATATAGTATTATAGTATGACTAATAGGTATTATATGTAGTATTGTACATAGTATTATAGTATAACATAACAGATACTGTATTATAGTTAATATTGTATGTATAACTACATTATAATATAATATTACACAGTATTATATTATATGTAGTATTGTATATAGTATTATAGTAGAACATAATAGGTATAATATTATATATATAACCACATTAAAATATAATGTTATATAGTATTATATTATATGTAGTATAGTATGTACAATATTTTGAAGATAATTATATAGTAATTAGAATTGGAAGTGAAAGTCCACTCGAGTGTTTGATCAGAACATAACTCAAAAGTTTTATCGCGTAACTGTTAACCGTGGCTTATCAGTGAGAAGGTAGTTTGGAGGTTTTTTGGCGTCGTATCGTCGACTCGTGGTGAATCTCGTCGCTTAGTGGTTCATTATCGACGCGATTCATCGGCACGCGGGTGCCACAGGTCCAATCGTAGCTTGATAAGATAACGAGACCGCGAAGCGGACTCCCGAACCGTGTACGATACACGCGCGGACAGTAAGCAACGCTCTTTATCTACCCACTACCGTGAACTTCCATAGTGTGCATAGCTTATCTGTCTACTCTGTCCATACAGTCAGGACATTTTCAGCCTGCTCAAATATTTCCTCTTTCAGATTTTCTACAAACTTTCTTCCATTGTTACTCAAGATATCAGAGGTACATTTGAGCAGTAACGGCGGTAACAAATAAGTGGTAACAAATAAGCTGTTAAAGCGTTAGCAAACAAGCTGTTATAGCAGTGGCAAATTTGAAGATTAAGAAGCGTTTTTGAAGGAACTAGGACGTGCGATAATTTACGGTCGCTCTTATCAGCCCGTTATCTCAAATCTTTTCGAAAGTCGTCTCTGACAAAATTCGAGAAAAGGAACGTAAAAATCCTGCCGCAAATACGTTGAGAATGCACCATCTTATCAAATATAAACTGCACATTCCGCTAAAATTATTGAAAACATTCTTATCTGTTTTCTTGTTTTACATTAAGATAAAGGTAAAATTGTTTGCAACTTCAATTTTGGTGGACATAGAGTGTGACTCAACGCATTTACCATACTTCATATATTTATAATAAAGCCTGAAGGATATTATGTAAATAAATGAAGTTCTGACAATAGCACATAAATATTGTGCGGAAACAAATTGCTCTGAAATTATAAAAAATAGTTTGAATATGTATATTTTTAATAGCTTTGTTGTCACTCTTATCAGTTCTTGAAATAGAAACTGTTGTTACAGAATTTTCTTTGGAAATATGTTGCGAATGTAAGAGAGTCCATAGAAATTATTTTTGGAAGTGAGATAATGTAGAAGAAGACAGTGTTTACAAGACCAATGCACGAACGGCGAGGACATACGGCCCTGAATTTCATTTCTCGTCCCTGAAGCCGAGACGTAGACATTTAGTTACACGCCACGAATGTTAATCCCCCTGATCGCGCCTCTTCCCCCTCTGGATCCTCTCGAATACTCCGGCGTATACTGGGTGACAAATTTTTGGGACTCGAGAAAGTTTCGGCCAATTATGCTAAAACGAGTTTATTAAAATCGGCTTTTAGCCGCAGGTTGCAGCCGTTGCGTAAGAAACACTTTCGAAGTCGAAATTTATTTCCGGCGAAAGAAAGCTATCTCGGAATTTTTTCGTAAGTAGAAATCGATTGCGAGACCCGGTTTCTACGAATTTGATCGACCTCGCGGAATTTAGACGGTTTCGAAAAAATTGAGAGAACGTGAAACTAACCTCTTACGGACGGTAATCCAATGACTGTTGGGAAATCCTCGTAACCGACGTATCGTAATCGGACTCTGATGCACGTAAGGGTACACCTGCATAGGGTGTTCAAAACTCACCTGCAAATTATTCACAAATATTGTTACTCTTCAAAAATTAATCTTCAAACATCCTTGCAGTTTATATATAAGCTAGTAAGTCCATAATTTTTAAATTGTTAGAAGCTTAATTTTGTAAGTAACCAATATTGTAACGCTTCAAAAATTAATCTTCAAACATCTTTGTAATTTATATTTAAGTTAGTAAGTCTATAATTTTTAAATTGTTAGAAGCTTAATTTTGTAAGTAACCAATATTGTAACGCTTCAAAAATTAATCTTCAAACATCTTTGAAGTTTATATATAAGTTTGTGAGTCTCATAATTTTTAAATTGTTAGAAGCTTAATTTTGTAAGTAACCAATATTGTAACGCTTCAGAAATTAATCTTCAAACATCTTTGAAGTTTATATATAAGTTTGTGAGTCTCATAATTTTTAAATTGTTAGAAACTTAATTTAGTAAGTAACCAATATTGTAACGCTTCAAAAATTAATCTTCAAACATCTTTGAAGTTTATATATAAGTTAGTAAGTCTCATAATTTTATAAATTGTTAAAAACTCAATTTTGTAAGTAACATTGTAACTCTTAATTTTGTAAATTCTTAAAAGTAATCCTCATCTTGAATTTCCAGCATGAAAAATTTTACCTCTGAACTCCAGTGAAACTAAAAACTAAAAATCTGTGGGAAGCGACAAACGAGATCGGACAAACTACCGGCGGAAAAGAGGAAAGAGGGTAAAATAAAGTGAATAAAAAAAGGAAGGATCAAGAAGCGACAGGGTGAGCCGTAAGAACAGTCGGCAAAAGCAAAAGGAGGGAGAGAATGAGAAAGCAAAGAGTAAAAGAGGGAGAGCAGCAGACGGAAAGGTAGACAAGAAAGGCAAGAAAAAGAAAAGAGGGTTTTATAAGAGGAAGAGGGGTGAAAGGAGGGGAATGGAAGCATGTGATGGGCCGCAGGACGACTCGGCAGGATACGCGACCAGCTGCCTCGTTATTTTCAGGACTTTACGCTGGGACGAGCTCGGGATTCGATGAGAAACGTTATGCCGGTTCCTCGAGCGAATTAAGCCTCGAAAATTAATGAGAATACCTAGGCGAATTTATTATGTGTTCTCTTCGTTATACCAAGATTTCGGTACAGGTTACATCTTTACATTTTCCACGTTTTTATTAACTCTTTGTACTTCTGCTCTTTGTTAGATATTTTTAGTATTGTTAGACAGTTTGTTAGATATTTTTAGTTTGTGTAATTCTTTTAAGATTATTTTTATATTATTGATTACCACTATGTTCACTATGTATCTATAATACTACAGATTAGGCTAAATATTTATTTCAAATTGTTATATTAAACTGAATAGTGAGTACAAAGGGTTAATATATTTCTACTGTATTTATTGACAAATTTAGATATTTTCTTCAAGCTCTGAATTAAGGTTTAACACTAAAAAATCAGGGATGACTAACAAAATTCATCTTGAAGAAAGTATAAAAATTTGTCGATAATTTGCAATATAGAATAAGAAATCTAAGTCCGCCATTTTGACTGTAAATCCAGCGTTAATAGTATTTTTATGGAGTTTCGAAATCCGATGTATGATAGCCTCAGAACCAATATGTCGTTTACGACCACAGTATAAATAATGTAATAAATAGTTTAGAAATGTCCTGTATTTCTGGCTCGTGCCTGACTAATGTGGATCGTTAGGATTTCCCACGTGTCACACTGTTTCGGGTAAATTTAGTCGGTCTGACTAAAGTGATTCTCCACCTCGAAAACTCGAATTCTGTGTTAATTTTGTCTGCGTGAAAGATACTCCTTTTTCACTTAGAAATTGCTGATACGATTTTAAAACGGAATATTTAATTAATTAAACGTATTAGTTAATGTATTAAGTGTAGAGCTTGCTGACGGCCATCTTGTTTACAGCCATTTTGTTTATGTCACCTTGTTAACCGCCATCTTGTTCACCTCACCATCTGAAACTTCTTCCACAAAAAAAAAGAAACTATAACAGTTTCTTGTCAGAAAATTAACCTGACAAATATTTAATTAAAAAAGAAAGTTTCTGAAAAATTAATATTCCAGTTTCATATCAGGTAAAATTTCTTGTGAACCTCGTGCAAATATTTAATTAGAAAGTTAAGTAAAAAGTCCAAGTAATATTTGAATCGTTAATCAATTTCATATCGGTGAAAAAAGTGTATAATCGATAATCGAGTATTCGAGGTGGACGTCAATGGAGAGAGAGGAGGACGGTTATCTCTAGATCGCTCGATAAATTTATTACTAATTAAAGAAAAAGCTTAATGATCTCTCGCCTTGTGCACACGTGCACACCCTTCCTTTCTTCCACGTTTAATTAGCACCTGTCGCTGTTCGTTGGTTCTGAGACTATGAATTCAAACGGACTGTTTTGTGGAAAAAGACTCGTTAAGGAGTAGCTGGAATTGCAAATGAATGGGTTGGTGAAATAGGAATAATTAAAGTGTTGCGTGGAACAGGATCTATAAAATTTCTGTCCAAATTATTTTGTCTAAAGCGTTCATTGTTTCACGTTCTCTACTTTTATCAAGAATTTTGATGCGATAATTGAGTTATAAAGTACAACAGAATGTTATTAATTGTAAAAGCGATTTAACGTCAGTTTACAATATTTATAATTGTAAAATGAGAACTTTTAAGACACCCCGTATGCAGTCGCATGCTCGTCGTGCATAAAGGTCGTTCCACACGAGAGATCACGACATGTAAGACCCTGGCCATTTCAAGATTATCCTCGAATATCGCGAAAGGATCGCGGCGAGGATAGCATTTTTGTTTTTTAAGTAGACTTAATTTGTCCAACTTATGGAAATATCATGTTCCCGCCTGCCGCTATCTGTCCATACTTAAGTGCACGTTGCAGTGATATACTCTGGCCATTAGTGTCAAGAGGATTTATATAAATAGTGTCTGAACGCAACAATATTCTTGAGAGACAGCTCTAATGATATAATAATTTACTATGCTTTGAGCACGTGGAACATGAATTTTTATAAATATATATTTATTTACTTAGGAGGTGTGTTTGTGCGAATTTGGAATTTGAAATTTCCGCCTTTTGTGCTGTATTGAATCTAATGCGTGGGGATGTGGGAACTTGGAGATATGGAGATCTAGGGATATGGGGGTATGAGTATTTGGGGCTGTGGAAATTTGGGGAGAGTGGAATTTAGGGAGATGGGAATTTAGGGAGATGGGTATTTAGGGAGATGGGAATTTGAGGAGATGGGAATTTAGAGAGATGGGAATTTGGGGAGATGGGAATTTAGAGAGATGGGAATTTGAGGAGATGGGAATTTAGAGAGATGGAAACTTGGGGAGATGGGAATTTGGAGAGATGGGAATTTAGAGAAATGGGAACTTAGAGAGATGGAAATTTGGGGAGATGGGAATTTAGAGAGTTGGAAACTTGGGGAGATGGGAATTTAGAGAGATGGAAATTTGGGGAGATGGGAATTTAGAGAGATGGAAACTTGGGGAGATGGGAATTTGGAGAGATGGGAATTTAGAGAGATGGAAATTTAGGGAGATGGGTATTTAGAGAGATGGGAATTTAAAGAGAGGGGAATTTGGTAATATGGGAACTTGGGAGTATGTATACTTGTCCATTACAATATTCCTCTTGATACACCATACAAAATGTAACTCTCTCTGTCCTACACTAAATGTACCTCTGTCTCATGTTCCACATATTGTGAAAGCACCTTAAAGAAAGGCATGGCCCTCGTAGCAGGAATATTGCCTTCTTGTATAGGTTATGTAGGTACCAGCGTGCAACCTGCGGTGCAACTTGTCAGCCAACATCATTATCGATGCCTGCTCGGCTCGGCTCGGTTCGATGCCGCGTTTATTGCGACTCTGTTATTTATATCTCGCTCAGCTTGGCAATAACTAATAGAGATCCTTGCCTTTTACTTTCTGCTTTGCTTGCAAGTTTCTGCTACTTCTCTATTTCCTTCTTAGAGAAAAAGATTTGGGGATATGGTCGTCTACCGATTAGTGAAGTGATTTCCTTGACAGGAAAATTGGAGGGTTGTAATTTGAACGGTCATGCCTGTGTTTAGATTCTATTTCACTCTTTCAGTGTCTATGTATAGGATGTTTCAAAATGTTTACTCATTACAGGTCCTGTGTGAATGCAATTGTCATACTCCATATGTATAGGATGTTTCAAAATGTCTGCTCATTACAAGTATTGTGCAAGTTCTCTACTTCAAAATGAATGAGGAGGTCCTTTGATAAATTAAGATTTTGTGAAGAATGTATTTGTCATACTCCACATCTATAGGCTGTTTCAAAATGTCTGCTCATTACAAGTCCTGTGCAAGTTCTCTACTTCAAAATGAATGAAGAGGTTCTTTGATAAATTATGATTCTATGAAGAATGTATTTGTCATACACCACATCTATAGGATGTTTCAAAATGTCTGCTCATTACAAGTCCTGTGCAAGTTCTCTACTTCAAAATGAATGAAGAGGTTCTTTGATAAATTATGATTCTATGAAGAATGTATTTGTCATACTCCACATCTATAGGCTGTTTCAAAATGTCTGCTCATTACAAGTCCTGTGCAAGTTCTCTACTTCAAAATGAATGAAGAGGTTCTTTGATAAATTATGATTCTATGAAGAATGTATTTGTCATACACCACATCTATAGGATGTTTCAAAATGTCTGCTCATTACAAGTCCTCTACAAATTCTCTACTTCAAAATGACTGAGAAGGTCCTTCTATAAATTGTGATTCCATGAAGAATACATTTGTCACATACTCCACACTGCTATATTTAATTCAGAAGAGAAAGACTTTCTCACAGAAAAATAAGAAATAGAAGTACAGCAACCTTAAGGGACCAAATCCACACGATCCTTGTTTTTCTAATTACAGAATTTACTTAATTACCGCACGATTATCAAATGAGACCCCAGCCAGGGGCCTCTCGACAAGAAGGAAACTATTTATCAAGTTCTATCAATCAATCTTCCACTATCACAGTTAAGCGACCCAATCATACGGTTAGTCCAACGAGTAGGACCTCCCTAAGAAAGAACGATTAGAGCGTCTCCGTATCGAAGTAGGTGCAGTAATCCTAAAGTTTGAAAGAGGAATGACACCAGGGGTAGGGACCCCCGGAGCGAGGACGCATGTGGTTCGCACGTGTTGCTACGCTCTACCCTCTTCTTTGGTGAGAAAAAAAAACGTTCCTATGCAAAGGGAACATCGTTCCTATGCACCCTGGATGCAACGCCATATGCAACGACCCGGGGACAATGTTCTCTAATTGCACGTTCCGAGACACGGAGGATTTTTCGTGGCCCGCAAAAAAAACCGTCTGTTGGAATCGCTCGTCCGACCAGCCACTTCCTCTTCCTTTTCGGGAGCCCGGACCACGCCTACCGAGAGCCTTAATTCCCGCAGGCTAAAGCGCCGTTTTTCTTGCGTCTGTCGAATATTTATAGTACGATACGTGGGTGATGGGCTGCTAATGGTGCTCTAGCTTCGAGGTGTACTCTTTAGGATGTTAACTGTCGTGCAGTTGTAGGATTTTTTTACATTGAACATGAAGACCTCAATTAGAATATGGTACTTGAAGATTTGGAACACAGGGATTTGGGAGACATGGGCTACTATTAGGAATAAGCTTGTGACTCATAGCTTATGCAGCAAGTAATAAGAACTTCACTTAGCAGAGATGCATCATCAGAATTTGATACTTGGGACCTTCACAAGAACCTGGATTATGGGAGTTTAGCATTAGAATTTGAAACTGTGGGACTTAGATCCTTTAACAGAACAGCTTAGCCTTGGATCATCACCTTCTTAGCTTAGGACACTCATAGGATCTTTATGTGGATACTTATAGACATTATGGTTAACTTATAGGTGCTATGTCTAGCTTATAAGAGTCATGTGTAACTTATAGGTGCTATGTCTAGCTTATAAGAGTCATGTCTAACTTATAGGAATTATGTGTGGCTTATGGGAGTCTTGTGTAACTTATGGGAGTTATGTCAAACTTATGAGAGTCATGTCTAATTTGTGGGAATTATGTCTAACTTATGAGAGTCATGTATAACTTATAGGAATTATGTC